TGGGGTACTCGCACACGCCAGGTGCGGTTATGCCAGATCCTTCGACCCTGGGCTGTATATCCCCAGTTGGTATCACCCAAAATAAGTAACGAAACAAGAATTTAAGCGATAAGCGTTGTTTGAATGGTAAATGAGGGGTAAAAAAAAAGGTATTTAAACTGCAAGGAGCATGAACTCACACGTATTTCAGTGTTGAAATGTGCTGGAGCAGCGAATGCCACAAACGCAAGTCGGAAACACTTCAGTAATAGCGGGCAACAGCAATCATTTTCACCTCAAGAGGCTCTCGATTTCTCGCTGAAGAAAGTCAAGCAGGTAATTCTCGGACATTAGCAATAATGGCAGTTGTGTAACTACGATTACAGACTTAGACTTACTAGTGCATAGTGCGCATTTTTTTAAGGCTTTTTTTATTGGCTGAGATGCCACCGGGGAATAACCAAGGAAATAAAATCTGTAACTGACAATAGTTAAAATTTCTGAAAACACCAGAAATATTGTTGGAACCGAGGACGCAGACCTTCCAAGACCTTCCAGGTTTGGTAAGTTATTTTCCCCTGTGTATTACAGTTAGTTTTAGAAGGTTCTAGGAGCTCCTGTATCTTGAGCTTAAGCTAACTGAAGAACTGTATTCTATACTGTACTGCTGTTTGGATAGCTCAGTCGGTACCCCGCTAGGTAACGTTGGCAGTGGGTTCGATCTTGTTGTGAAGAGGACTGAAAGTCAGTAAATTCGGCAGAACCCGACTTGGGCATCCAACTGAGGCATTTGGACAGACTTGTAAGAATTCGCATATCCTCGAATGGGTTATAACGCGAAACGTGGACTCGAACTGCAGTCCCCGAATTTCTCTTTAGTAGCAAATATTGCTATTATTTTAGTTACCGTTACTGCTAGGCTTGGTACTAACGTGGGACAAGTGACGTAGCAAATGTTTAGAAGCCTTTTCAAAAAGCGGATGGGTTACATCCTCCTTACTGTTAAAATGAGAAATATGCTGGAGAACGGTTTGAGTTTGTAAATTCGCATGTGAAGCGTCCTGGTCTTATTTCTGGTAAATCCAGAAATATTCTCTGTTTGAAGGAATCGGCTACGGCAAGTGGCAGTACATCAAAACATTCGGCGGATGCGCATTCACCGCTAACCTCATCGTCTGGTAGCGATCTCACTCCGCTGCTCAGCGATGACTGCGAGTCCAGCATCAACTCCACATCAGTCACGTGAGTTAAACCTTATCTTCATACATTTTTGTGGGTAATAAGTCCAGGTAAGTCGGATAATTCAATTCTTTCGTTTATGCGTGTGCATACTCTATAGTGAAGCGAAAAATGTCCTGAAGTAACTCTTCGTGACCGAATAAGCAGCTAGATTCTTCGTCAGATGAGAGGCGTGTAGAACGTAGCTTCGACCACAGAACAAACTAAAATTCCTGGAGGCAGGGCATGTAGCTCGTCTTGTTGACAAGCGGTGGATAGAGCGCACTGATGAACGGAACCCGTGATGAAGTAAGCTAACTCCGAGAAGATGGCGCACGCATCGAACTGGCTAAGGGTACCATCGAAGGCATGCAGCCCAGGACTGAAAGGTTCGGTGTAACCGAGACAGCTGTGTGGGAGCATCCCAGTATCTTCACTAACACGGGATTTTCACATCAATTGTCGGAGGTCTCTTGGCAGTGTGCTATATAAGAGTCTGTAAAAATTTTAAGCTAGAAGCACGATTCCTGTGCACCTTTACCTCTTTGTCAGACGACGGCAGAAACCTTAGAGTGCAAAGCTATCACAAGTAAATAAAGGCTCACCGTTAAATTATCAAAATTCGATTATTGGTTTCTCTGGAGGCGCTATGCATACGTTAATACGCAGATGATTTCAGATATTCCTCCTCCAGTTTTCTTGTCACGGATATGTATAGTTTATACCCTGTGATTTCCATGTCACTTTGAAGGCCTCTCCTTCGATTTGTTGCCAAAATCAGCTTACTAGCAATGTTTTAGCTCATCGCCAACATCGCCACCAGCAGCTGCCAGCGAGGAACAAACGATCACCAGGCCGAACGTGATTCAGAATCCGGTGCATCGTCCTGTAGCTACCAAAATCCCCCAGAGCACGGTGCCACAGGTAGCACCCGGGTTGCCGCAGCTCCAGCACAACCCCATAAATCCTTACAATTCGTTGCTACACGAATTCTGGCGGCGTAGCTCGGCTTTAAGCGTTACCACTGGTGGCATCTGGGTACCACCTCAGCCGAATCATGGTGTGGCGGCAACACCACATGTCGGCCGGCCATGCTCACCGGGGCGGCCACCTGCTTGCTCTCCGGCGCCCGCATTCGCAGCAACCGCAAGTCCCCCGTTTGGCACCACGTTTGGAGGCACACTTTACTCATCTACCACCCCAACAAAATCATCGTTTTTTGCGGCACAACCTCAGCCACTCCTGCCCTTAAGCATTCCAGCTCCCCCACTCGCTACTTCACCCACTGGCTTTCAAGCGGCATCTAGCAATACAACCTTTTTACGCAACGATCAACCTTATCCGGTGCAGAAGGTGAATAGAAGCACTATCATTTCTTTTTTTTTTTTTTTTTTACTATTAGATCTGGCAAGTTTAGAAAGGCTTCATCGATGTGAAAAGCTTTGCACCGTTCAAATACTATCAGCTTTTGGTTATTTAAA